ATAAGCACTCACACTACTGGTTATCACCACAATGGTTATGGAGCTGAGGTCTGAGGCACTGTTGAACCTCACCTGTCTTATGGGTTCTTCCAAAATATCCAAGTTAGGGCTAGAAACCAATCAAGGAGAAAGCTATACACCTTTTTCGCCTCTGCACCCAGCCCTGGCTCCAGGCACTTAGAAACCCTTCCAAGGCAGCCCAGCTTGCATACACCATACCAGCTCATGTGCCTGCACTGATTGCAAGAAGGGCCTTGTGGGACCTTGGTCAATCTTTAACTGTAACAGGATGCATTCTGGATGGGGCCATGTTCATGGATGGGGTGTGAGCCTCACTGCTGGTCCCTTTTCGGAGGGCAAGAGTTACGCTGAGTAGGTTGCACAAGTGGCAGGGCTGAGGGGCTGTCAGCAGTTAAGTGGGAGTCTGGGGCATGAATAAGAGTCAGCAGAAGTCTCAGGTGACATTGCGTGCCTGGGAGTAGAGAAGCTGTAAAGCTCAGCATGTTGTGAGCAGTAGGGTCACTGTTTTGTGACTGATTGTAGGACAGGGGTAAAGCGAGGATACTTCAAAAGCTGAGTTGAACGGTGCTATGGGAACACTGCAGCAGACTGAAGGAGGACAGAATGGGACTAAATATCCTCGAAGGTCATACAGTATCTTAAACAATCTCATCTCCATCACAGCTACTTTTCCATCACTGAATTAGTGGCTGTGTAACAGCAAGAAAGATGGATTTCCATGAGTCTAGCATCGATCTTCACCTCTGTACGATGAGCTGGTGATGTCTTGTTCTGTCCACCACATGTGTATGGAATATCTTGCTCCTGCTCATGGCAACAGTGCAATGACAGTGGGAGCTGGCCAGGGCTTTGAAATCAAACCTTCTTCCCTCCCACCCTGCAGAGAGCATCCCAAAAGTTACCCTTGGTAAGCTTCACTAGAGCACACATGTTCTGCACCAGGGAGGGGGATGAGGTGAGAGAGGGAGACAATGCAGGATTCTTTCTGGATCTCAGTAAGAATGAATTAATAAATACTCAATAAAACAGCTGTTTTAATAAGCTAGAATAAGAAGAGGCATATAGGCAGCAAGTAAATCTTATGTCCCTTCAGATGCTGGGATCCCTGCATTCATGCAGCATCAGACAGACCCCAGATGGATGTTCCCTTGGCACAATGTACAGATCCTGTCTGTGGAGAAGTTCCTCCTTTTGGGTCATTCAAGCTATTATACAATTTTTCTTAGAAGGAAATAACTCTGTTCATAAAAGATGTTCATGAGACTCTCTTGCTGCACTTTAGATAAAGGCAAGGACACGCAGGTGATGCAATTGCTGGTACCAAGCAGGAGCTTGTAGGCTCCTCTGCCACAATCAACCAGCTAAATTTATCCTGCAGCCAAGGGACACATGTGGGGACACAGCCCAAGGGCTACGCTGTATGTACAGCACAGCACAGACCTGCACCTACTCAGGTTAACTGTTATGTAGATCACTAACTCCACAATGGACAGTGGTCTCCCAGTCAGGATCTCTGCAATGGGCTGTTAAACTGCAAGGTAATATGGTAACTAGAGAAGGTCCAGATCTTGAGGGGACAGTTAACCAAAGGGCCTCAAATCTGTTCTCCTCTAACCGCTTCCTGTGCTTACAGGGTTCTTGACCCTCTCAGACATCTCCCAGTCTGCCCTATCACTCCCAGCTCCCCCATTCCTGTGTTTCCCTCCCTCCCTCCCCACTTTGGCCCCTGCAGCAGCACTCAGCTGAGCATCCTCAGTTGCTCTTGGGGAAGAAGCATCCCCCTTGCTCTCCATGGCATTCCCCCAGCATGGGGCGCTGTAGCCAGGACAAGGCAGGCAGACATAGACACAGAGTGTTTAACAGAGCATATTGCACACAGTGCTTCTTATAGATCATCTCAGGAACAAGCAGGTGAGCTAGGTCTCCTGCCTCTCACAAACAGCATTTTATAACAATGACCTTCAGCACTGGACCCTCTCCAGCCTCTCATTTTTCCAGTGTTGTAGGTGTTACACTATGTGGTTAAATATTCATCTCCACCTACACAAAGGGGTACAAAGGAGCAACGGCAGACAGGAATCCCAGTAACCTAGGCAGAGGCAACAGATCCCCCAGATGTGGCGTTTTCCCAGGGCTGTCACAGGAGAGGGATAGACAACATAGTCTGGGTATGAGACTCACCAGAAGAGTATTGACTCTCTCCTGCTCACCTCACAGACTGAAGTGGGGAATGCACTTCTTTGGTCATGCCCTGCATCTGAACACCTGTGGTAAACAAACAAAAAAAAATAGCTTAAACTGTGAATGTTAACAGGCAACACATGACTGGGTGCATGTGTATGGCAAAGTCTGTGTGTGTGAATGTCTGAAACTGAATTCTGAACTATCAAGCAGAAGCCTGCTACTTGCTAACTGCAACCAGTATGGGCTGTTTGTAAATTTTGGTAACACCTGGAATAAGCAAAAGTGGCAATGTCCTGAATCCTACAACTAATAAAGAGGTAGGAGACAGACCCATCAATTAGGAGGCTGATCAGGCATTGTACTACTCAGGCAATTTAGATTGGGAAAACTGGGGGCATGAGGTTCCAGAAAGAAGAGGTCATGCCAAAAAGAAGGGTTCCCAAAACAAAGAAGGGATCTTGAAAAGAAGAAGGGGACCTAGAAAGAAAAAGGTGAAGATCTTGGCCGGAGGAAATATCCAGGAAGTGGGGGAAGATCTTGGAGAACAGAGAGCTGCGCGGAGACAAATACCAGGGGATGTCCAGGGACCTTGACAGAAACCTCTGAAATTGGTAATGGCGAGCAGCTGCACAGCAGGAACCAACATGACTTTCTGCTTGACCTTCCCCGACCTGCAGTAACCTCCCTGCTGGGAAGGGAATTTACGGTCTCTGGGTTGTAGCACTGTGTATGTGTTGAACTTCATCGGCTCACATGTGTGAATGTGTGTGCACATGTGTGTGTGTGAGAAACAATCAAGTAGGGGCTAAACTTGTTGGTTGTTAAATAAAACCCAGAATACAGATACACCACAGGTTGTTGTTTGTTCTGATTTGCCTATGATATCACCAAAATCTGTCCCATCTTCTTCTTAAACTCCATTTCTGTTCTCCTGAATGAGGAGGTCTCTACTTTGTGTGAAAGGTCTAAGTGCCAGCAACTGGAAAAGGACCCTGGGCCATAGGGGACCATGGACCTGAGGCACCAGCAGCTGTGGAGACTGCAGACTGTGCATATTGTGAGGGTGTGTATGTCAGTGTGTGCAACTGCTAGTGAGCATCAAGCTGGACTCGTCAGCAAGTAGAATAATGGTCTTGGGACCCAGGGACTGGAGTGGCCACAGGTCGGGGACAGATACTGAAGAGACCAGAGGATCTGAGAGTCAGCTACTGGAGGGACTGGGAGGCCCAAGCCAGCTACAAGAGAGACCAGAGGATCTGGTAAGGTTGTAGGTCTGGAACAGCTACTGAAGAGACCCTTTTGCGTGTGTATGGTTTTGTACCTGAGGCAGCTGGGAGACCATAGAATCCTGGGGCCATGTACTGGATAGGTTAACTGCCTAAGGCCAGCTACTGATGGGACCCATACTGCTTCTATGTGTACATATTTTCCACCAAGTGTCTTTCACCCTGAGTAGCCTGAGAGCAGACAGGATCAAGGCTGTTTGTGCTCTTTGTATTTATGTGAGTGCTTTGTTTTCAGTCAGTGTGGATCTATGTGACAGGCCATGTATATATGTATACAAGTGTATGTGTGCCAGTTGGAAAACACATGCTCAGCCTCACTACTTCAATGAACATGGGGACATAGAGCTGCAGCAGTATTGTACTGCATTGAGATACTGGATTTGGCAACTCCTAACAGGAGGATTTATCCTATGCTAGTATCTCAGAAACAAAAAGCTCTGTACACTGTTGGAGGCAGGGAAATTCTGGGAGGCAGCGAAGGCATAAAGGGGAAAGTGATGGAGGAGACTGTGTTTAACAGAAAAGAAACCCATATGAATGAAGGGCCAGTAAGTACAATGCCATGTCCATTTCAGAATAAAGTAGTATTTACTATCTGGAAGGATCCCCTGAGTTCAGGTATGGAACTCTGGGGATTTATACTTGAGATTAATTGTACTGCCTTTTGGCAATCAAAACAGTGTCCCTTTAGACACATTACACATAAAACTTTGGCTTTAAGAACAAATGAATGTAGGGAGCTGAACAGAGTGGAATAGCTCTTTGTTTTTCCTGTTGTCTGAGAAAGTATACAGAACTTTCTAATAAGGTTTCCCTAATCAAAAACACGGAGCTGAACAAATCACATTTATGCAGATGCTGCAGGTAAGGAAACTCTTGTGTATAAATGTTAGAACATTCTTTTAGCAATAATTATCAGCTGTGCCTCCAAGTGTAGCTCTCAGTTTGTTCAGCAATCCGAAATGAAGTTAGATATAGAATAATGAATCAAGTAACTGCAGGATTCAGTATGAATGCATTTCACTAAGGTAAAGATGACACAGCAATGGATTAGAAATGCTAGTTGGTTTAATGGTAAAACTGGAATCATTCTATGAACTGTGCATTCATTTTAATATGGACTTAATTTTAAAAAGCTGCTTTGAAGATGTTCTGACTTCACCTTAATCAACACCTGCAATCTTCATCATGATAGAGAGCTGTTATTTTCTCCAACAGAGAAACCCCACCCCCGCCAAAATAAAACCCAACCCAGAAAAAGACAGACATCAAGGAAAAGCTAGTCAGTAAAGTTGTCCGAGATTTCTCAAAACTGCTATAAGTTTGTGCAGACATTAGAGCTTGCAATTCAGATCTACTTTGCTCAGCATGGTAAGGGTAGTATGCACCTTCCACTGGGGTCAGAGGGAAAAACAGGGAGAAGGGAGCTGCTCCATAAAGAATAAAGGATGCAACATTCTTAGGAAAACTTTCAATTTTCTTTCCTTTTCCTTGCTCCTTCCCTTCCAGATCCCTGTGGTCACAGTTTGTGCTGTCTCACCTCCAGCACAGCATGCAGAATGAAATGTCTGTCACAGAATTCATCCTCCTGGGGTTCTCCAGCAACCCAGCTCTGCGGCACTGCCTCTTTGGCATTTTCTCTGTCCTCTACTCTGCCACTCTGATGGGAAACACACTTGTCTTTGTGCTTATCTGCCTGGACTACCGCCTCCACAGCCCCAGGTACTTCTTCTTCTGCTACCTCTCCATCATGGACATCTGCTACGCCTCCAACAATGTCCCCATATGCTGAGGAACCTCCTTGGACAAGGCAGAATCATCTCCTTTGCTGGGTGTGGGACATAGATACGTCTTTATTTAATTTTTGCACTTACACAGTGTGTACTGCTGGCCGTGACGTCTTACAATCACTTTGTGGCAATCTGCCATCCCTTCTGCTATGCTGTTATCATGAACTGGAGGGTGTGCCTCACCCTTAATGCAGTTTCATGGGCTTTTGGGTTCCTATTTGGCACACTACAAGCCTCTCTGGCTTTACACCTGCCTTTCTGCAGCCCCTGCGAGGTTGACCACTTCTTCAGTGAAATCCTTGCTGTCTTAAAGCTGGCCTGCATTGACACTACTGCCAATAAAGTCCTGATCTTTGCTGTTTGTGTGTGCTTCCTCGTCTTTGCTTTAGCCTTAATCCTAACTTCCTACCTACACATCCTGTCCACCATTCTGCACATCAGCTCTGCGGCAGGATGGAACAAAACCTTCTCCACCTGTGGCTTCCACCTGACAGTGGTGGGTCTGTTTTATGGAAATGCCATCTTCATGTACATGGGGCCTGGGAGTGGTAACTCATCTGGGAGGGAGAAAGTTCTTTCCCTTTTCCATAGTCTCCTCAGCCCCAGTTTGAACCCCCTGACTTACAGTCTGAGGAACAAGCAGGTGAAGCAAGCCTTGCTGAAGTTTCAGAGAAGGAAAAGAGTTTTTCATTCCATGTAGTTCAGGATCTAGGCTTTCACCTATCTCCTGTCTTTTGGCTCTTCTTGAGCTCTTTGGGTATTTCTCACTGAATTTTAAGTGGTTAAAATGTAACACAAGAGATTATACAAATGCATTTGTCTCTATTTCTCTGTACAGTCTAATGAATATCACAACACAAAATTACTATATTTCCTATCAGGTTGCTGATGTTCTAACCCTGAGCATCAATAAACCAGATAAGTTAGTCTATCCTACTTGAACCCTGTAGAACTTCAGCTTTTTCTAATGAACATGAGAAAAGCAGAACTGAAAAACAGAAATAGCACCTGAAACTCAAAAGACAACAGCCCCAGTTACATTTAAAAGCTAGAGGTTCCTTGCAGTTGTTTCAAGAACTCTGAGGGGCCAAATTCCTTTTTCCAAGGCATCCATGAAATAATAATAATAATAATTTAAAAAGATTAAAAATATGGCTTTATTAT